TCCTTGCTCTTGCCCAGCTTGGCCCATGCCCAACCCTGGTGCAGGTATCCAGCTGCTCTCCAGGCAAGGCAGCACAGACTCTCCTTCTTCTGGGAGAGGAGTCCACCCGCCAGCCCTGCCCCTGGGCGTTCTGGCTGCTCCGGCCTCTCCTCCACTCGTAACATCCGTGGGATCAGGTCAGTCGTCCGGCTGATGACCTCCTCGCACATGGTTATGGCATCCTGGTGCCTCCCGGCCTGCTCCAAGGCAGACGCTGCTTCCAGGAACACCTCAGGGATCCTGGGCAGAGCTGAGCCACTGTCTAGGGGCACCTGGGGAGCAAGAGCAGTGGCAGTGCTCAGGCGCAGATCGCAGAGCACCCAGCCAAGCAGAGTGACTCCGTGCTTGGTGGGAGCCCAGAGCTGCTGCCCAGCAACACTCAGACCCACTGCCATGGACACTGGAGCCTGACAGAGACAGAGTCTGTGAAGCACTAACAGCTCTGCAAAGCCAAGGTGGCAAATCCCCACTCTTGAAGAAAAGAGCATCCAAAACCAGGCTGACAGTGGCTCCCCACAGTGACAGGGCTGCTGGTCTGAATCCAAAGGCCGATGCGCCACAGGTCAGAGGTGCCAGCCCAAACCTCATCTACCAAGTCACCGAGGGAGCTCTTCACCAGGACACCTACCTGCTGCTGCAGCTCCTCCTGAAGCAGAGCCAGAAAATCAAAGTAATGTTCCACTGCATCAGCCACCCTGCAATGGGGACAGGAGATGTGGTGGAAGGAGCAGTGGGATCCCAAGGAGTGCCAGCCAGCAGCCAGGCGGAACCTGGATCTCCCACAGGCTCTCCCTGCCCTGCACTCGCTCTCGTCATGATACCCGTGCTTTGAGCAGGCCCACAACAGCAGTACCGAACTGGATGATTTCCAGGAGCACAGGGAAAACCGCAGAGCCCAAACAAGCAGCATGTTGCAAGCAGACCAGATGTGCTGTTACCTCCCGTCCTGGAGACATCGCTGTGCCAGCAGGTACTTCACTTCAGAGGGGTGGCGATGGCGGAGGAGAGAAGCTAGTATGGGTGTGTGGACAAGGAGCTCTGTTCGCATAAGGAAGTATGGACTAGAGAAAGCAGTTGCTGGAGGGTTTTTTTCCAGAGCCTGTGAAACAGGAACAGAAAACATGGTCAACACAACACGGTTAAGTCCCGAGCAGCTGCAATCACTTGCCACTTCTGGCTGCCGGCGATGCACCCAGGCGAGCAACCGGGATCACACAGGGACAGGCAGACTTCTGCTGTCCAGACTGCATCAGAAGATGCACAAGATCACCTGAATCACCTCAGGTTTTTAGTTCAAGGTGCTCCGAGCTGCCTGGAACACCATCTCCCATTGCAGCCACAGACCTAGGTAGGCCAGATCTTGGGCCATTCGTAATGAGATCCCTCCCCACAGCTGTCTTTGTATCTTAGGATTTCAAACAGCTGAAGAGCCAACTCGGTGTCTGCTGCTGCGACCCGCTGCTTCCAGCAGACCAAGGTGGCTATGGCTTTTTT